TATCCAAGAACCTCACCCTATATCCATTATTCTGGCAGTGTTTTAACTTGGCAGACATCAAGTGGCAGAAGAGAAAGCTCAGTTACAGAACCACAAAGCAGGATTCAAGTCAGGTACGGGGTTTTCTTCATCACTTTGGTGTTTCTTGACCTAAATTTGACGTTTTTCTTGCATTTGGATTATAATTTCTAACAGAAAGGATCAAAACGGCTTCAGCAAGGAAGACTTTGCCTTTTGTCAGTAATTGAAGGGTTTCACACAGAAGAGTGGGAACAACTGGCTGTAACAGGGGAAAAGCTCAGACCACACATGTCATAGAATCATAGAATGGTTTGGGTTGGAAGGGACCTCAAAGATCATCTCGTTCCACCCCCCCTGCCATGGGCAGGGACACCCTCCACTACACCAGGTTGCCCAAAGCCTCATCCAACCTGGCCTTGAACACTTCCAGGGATGGGGCAGCACAACTTTTCTGGGCAACCTGTTCCAGTACCTCACCACCCTCAATGTAAAGAATTTATTTCTTATATCTAACCTAAATCTGCCCTCTTTCAGTTTAAATCCGTTGCCCCTTGTCCTATCACTGCATGCCCTTGTAAAAAGTCCCTCTCCAGCTTTCCTGTAGGCCCCCTTTAGGTACTGGAAAGCTGCTCTAAGATCACCCCGGAGCCTCCTCTTCTCCAGGCTGAACAGCCCCAACTCTCTCAGCCTGTCTCCATAGCAGAGGTGCTCCAGCCCTCTGATCATCTTTGTGGCCCTCCTCTGGACTCGTTCCAGTAGATCCATGTCCTTCTTGTGTTGGGGACTCCAGAGCTGAACACAGTATTCCAGGTGGGGTCTCACGAGAGCTGAGTAGAGGGGCAGAGTCACCTCCCTCGCCCTGCTCCCCACGCTCCTTTTGATGCAGCCCAGGACACGGTTGGCTTTCTGGGCTGCCAGCGCACATTGCAGGCTCCATGTCACCCTCTCCCACCGCGTGTGCGAGCGTGCCTTTGCGTGTACGGCTGGAACCACGTGCCAAAACCACCGAAGCGGTTAGGAAAGACTTTCCCTTCCGTGGTTCGCGTTCTTGGGTTAGCAGCCAACGCCGTCAGAGGCGCCCGCTTTGAAACCGCCTCCGTCAAGCAGATCTGTAGGGCTGTCACCTGCTAGATTGTCGAGCATGTAGTTCAGTAGCTTGCGAGTTCCGTCTGGGTCCTGGTAGAGGCTGAGAATATCTTGTGATAAAGGATTGCCTGCCAACAGCAGAAAACAACAAGTGGATGATTAGCTGCCTGACTTTCTTGAGGCTATCCAAGCAAAGGAAATCGCCCATAACGAGACCAGACCAATTGACCTAGGAGATATTCAGGTTGCTTAACTTGGAACTGTAGAATACCACAGTAACAGGTGCTATAAAAATAGCTAGCACAGGTAAGGTTTGAGAATCATAGAATCATGGAATGGTTTGGGTTGGAAGGGACCTGAAAGATCATCCAGTTCCAACCCCCCTGCCATGGGCAGGGACACCCTCCACTACACCAGGTTGCTCAAAGCCTCATCCAACCTGGCCTTGAACAATTCCAGGGATGGGGCAGCCGCAGCTTCTCTGGGCAACCTCTTCCATTGCCTCACCACCCTCAGAGCAGAAAAATTTCCTCCTTGTATCTAATCTAAATCTGCCCTCTGTTTTCTTACTTCCACTCAGCTCCATCAGTAATACAGTAGGCTAAAGGGTTTATTTACTTATCTACAGATTTGAAATAGGCTCGTAAGGAAGTTTAAAAGCATTAAAAAAGAAAAGCATTGTTTCCCAACCCTGCCAGTCGTTTTTGCCCCAAGCTCGATACCTCAAGCAAACGGTGAGAACATGTTGAGGTAATAGACAAAGCTTTTGAGCCCAGCCCCTTCAGCAATTCAAGAGTACTGCTAGGAATATTTAACTGTGGAACTCACTCACCTTTCAAACCTAGGGTTTGTAGCTGGAAGAGCCGTCCAAGTTCGTAAGGCAAAACCCGTAACAGATTGTTGTTTAAAAGCAATTCCCTGCAGCAAATGCAAAAACATGTTTGATGAGTATCACTTCAGAAGAAAACTCTTACAGCACTCTGTGCCATTCATCTTCAAAGGTGACACTTTCCCCCTTGAATTTTTTTGTATTATGGAAAGATAGGCCAATCTTCCCATTCCAAAGCATGACTGAAAGACTTTCCTTAGGGAAAAAAAAAGCCTCCAAAACCCCAAAACACAAAATTAAATCGGGGAGAGTTTAAACAGCAGGCAATCACCAAGTCTCAAAGAATGTTTCAGAGCAGCAGACGACATAGCTTACAGACACGTCTCTGCAGAGATGAGAAAAGAAGGGTAATGAACCCAAAAGTAATTATGAGAACGGAAGCTTTGCTCCAACTGGGAATTTTTCACAATTATTTTATATACAAGAATGGAAAGCAAACTGAAATTCTCCGTCTCAATCGCAGAACACAGATTTTTGTCACGTTAACCAGAATAATTTCTCTCACCTGAGAGATACCATGTTTCCTAGTTCTGCTGGTAAACTTCTGAGCTTGTTGGATGAGAGATCCAGGTAAACCAGATTCTGAAGCTTGGCAATATCAGGTGGAATGCGAGTAAGGTTATTGTCATTGAGGTGCAGAGCAGTCAAGTGCGTCAGCGACCAAAGCGACGTACTCAAGCTCCGCACTCTACCTGAAAAAGAAAAGCCAAGAACCACCTCGTCAGTCAGGTTGGCACTCTGGAACCATCAGACACAAACTTGGAGGGATGTCAGAATACGGGAATTCCAGTGTGGAAGCCCCACCACTCCGGTGAAACGCTCAGGAGATAGCTTCGTGTGTCTTTTTGATGAGCAGACGTGAAATAATTGTTTAACCCTCTCCGTTAAAACAGAGAGAGGGATACAGTTGTAGGGAAGCAGATGTGCTGGCCAAAAACTCACATCCAGTCTGAATTGGTGTTTTACACCAACTGGCGTAAAACACCAGTTGTTTTACACCAACTGGGCTGAACGTGAGCCAGCCAAGCTCAAAGGCAATCTGGTCAGTCAGTTATTCCTCCTCCCTCAACTCAAAAAAATCCTGTTTTCACCACAGGATCTCCTATTTCCAAGTGGCTGGTGCGATTCCGAGGCACCAACGACTCGGCCGAACCCAAATTCAAAACCAAACCGACTCACCCGAGATCTCCAATTCAGCCCAGTGCGACTTCTTCCCGTTGGCTACCTCTTCTGCTGACATGATGGTGTAAATTCTGCGAGGATCCGGAGGATCATATTTTTCCTTTGGCATCCCTGTTAGTCTGAAAGACCATCACAACCGTTACCATTTGCCACTCAACAGCATTTCTTCGTTTCTAGCCCGCCAGGAGATGACTTTTCCCAGTGATGCTCTGCAAAAACACACGCCCTGGAGTTCAGGTACAATAAATACGACGCTGACATCAGCCCAGTTGCTCCCAGCGCACAGAGTCAGGTGCTCAGACCTTTGCAGAATATGGCCAGCAATGGAAAAGGACGTTTTTTCCCAAAAGCTGGGTTTTCTGCACCCCCCCGCAGCGCTACCTTGTCCTGCCCCGACGCAGACTTTCTGGATTTCCTCCTTTTTCCCCAAGAGCAAAGCGAAACCTGTGTCATCGCTGAGTTATTGGCCACGTGTGGAACCTGCAGACAAGATGACCGTGGTGAAAGCCCACAGATTGCTCCCTCTGTAGTTTTCCCAGGGAACCAACGAGCAAAGGGAACCCCCTCTTTGCTTTTGCAGCAATTATTTTCAACAAAGTCCCACTTGTGCACTCCACTTAGACAAGATTTGAAATCGCAGTCTGAAGGGGAATTAGCTCGATTTTTCTATTAACTGTGTAGCTTTTCTGGTTTGTGCTTTTTCATGCTCAGTATCAAAAAGGCTTTTTTGCTCCTAATGGCCTAAGAGACATAGAATCATAGAATGGTTAGGGCTGGAAGGGACCTTCAAAGGTCATCTAGTCCAACCCCCCTGCAAGGAACAGGGATATCTCCAACTAGATCAGGTTGCTCAGGGCCTCGTCCAGCCTGGCCTTGAACGTCTCCAGGGATGGAGCATCCACCACCTCTCTGGGCAACATGAAAGGAGCTCGGGTAAAATTCCCATTAGCTGTTCTTGTGCACACAGGGCTTCAGCTCAGTCCAGAACTTTAGTATCAGATGTGTTCATGTCTTAAGGATGACACATGAAACACACAGACCTTGATTTTATATCAATGTAAAGCAGGTCGACAGGATGCCTTTTTTTTTTTAACTCTCATACATACCTCTGCTACACCTGGCTGCAATAACTGGGAAGCTCTTCTAACTATAATTTGTTTGGTTTGCTGAGAAAACTGTGAAGAATTTGAGGAAACCAGTTCAGATTTTTTTTTCAGCTAGTCCAACGAAACCAAAAAATCACATGTCCCCTTTATGAGCTTAACGTACGGCAGTTTTTTCCTACAGGTCCAGATAGCCGGAACAGCGTTCCAGCATCACCCAGGAGCAGGAGCTATCAGGGCTGTCCCCTGCGACGGTGCTTCCTTCCCCAACAAACACCCAAGGAAATTCCATTCACGCTGAATTCAGGCTCCCTGTTGCAGGGCAGACACGAGCCCCACATCTAATTCCAGCCGAGTTCTATTTCCAGGTGAAGTCGTCCGGCGAGGGAAGCTGCAGGGTAAGAGGATTCCGCGCTCACGCTGCTCAGCGGCAGCGATTCGCTTCGAGGCAATGAACGAAACAGATGACTTAAGGACACAGGATTAGCCCTGAAATCCTTCCATCCTCGTTTCGGTACCCCGAAATCGAGAACGGTACTTCCCAGCACAATCATACGCTTCGGATGCGGTCGATCTCCGGTGCTTCGGTTTTGCTGGATTTATCTTCACTGTTAAACACAGAAGCAGGGAGCAGCCCTGGCCACGTGAATGGATTCCTCACAGCCCCTGCCCAGAGCCACGAGAGCCCTACTTCACCTTTTCTCCCTGGCATCCTTGCCCTTAGACGCGTACGGAACTAATCCATGTTCCACTAAGTCTCAACATGGCTCTTCCTGACTTTTGCAAGGCCTTGGGAACCGACCGGAGGTGAACTGGGAGAGCTCGCGGTCCCTGGCAGCTGCAGAAAGCACGGTCCCAGGAAGCACATCGCAACGCTCCCGCGCTTGGTGTTAAAGCCTCATCGCCTCGGGAAGCACCGAGTGGGTCATCTAGCGTCGTACTTAACACAAATTTTACGGATTGATTCACGCCCGGATCAAGACCACAGTCACAGAATCACAGAATGTTGGGGATTGGAAGGGACCTCAAAGGATCATCTAGTCCAGTCCCCCTGCCGGAGCAGGACCACCTAGATCAGATCACACAAGAACGCGTCCAGGCGGGTTTGGAACATCTCCAGAGAAGGTGACTCCACAACCTCTCTGGGCAGCCCGTTCCAGTGTTCTGGTACCCTCACTGGGAAGAAGTTCTTCCTCATCTTTAAGCGGAATCTCCTCTGTTCCAGCTTATATCCATTTCCCCTTGTCCTATCGTTGGATGCCACTGAGAAGAGCCTGGCTCCATTCTCATGACAGTCACCCTTTCCATATTTACAAACATTAATGAGTCTCAGTCTCCTCTTCTCCAAGCTAAAGAGACCCAGCTCCTTCAGCCTTTCCCTCAGCCGTTCAGTCCTAACGTTTCAGGCATGGCATAAACAGATGGAGTCTGTCCGTGGCAGAAAGCAGCAAGGTAGTTTTTGCGGGAAGTCAAACTGTCATGTCACTGCCACGGGATGACCTGCAACGATCCTTTAAGAGCAAATGAGATTTCACTACCTGGCAATGTTTATTTCATCCACGAAGCATGCTGCAGATGAGAAGGGGGAAACTGAAAAGCTGAGTGGTGGAAATCGAGCAGAATACTGATAAAGGATTAAGGGTTTAAGGCAGAAGGGATTTTTTTGCATCTTTAAGTCTTAATCGTGATCAACCATTTGAACTGACCCAGGAAGAGTCTTCATTTTGCTTTTTAATCTGTTTTATCTTAAAACAAGCCGTACTTGGACCACAACTGGACCTAAGACAGCGCCAACTTTGCTGTCCAGCACTCAGCATCGGGTGAGTGCTCTGTGAAACGCGTTGCCCTTACCGAGTCTCTGCCTTCTTGTTTTCTGCAGTGTGATATTATAGTAACATGAGGCCCAGGCAGATGGAAATTTCAGTTTCTGCATACTGGAACTTCTCCCTGCCCTGTGTGCTGCTGGCAAAAGCTTTGGCCGCGCTCGTTTCCTACGGGCTTCTCAAGGTGCGTTTCCAGCTAAAAAAAGCCAGGGGGGAAATGATTTGTGTTTCTGCTCGCCGTTTCATCGCAAGCCAGACCCAGATGGCCAACAGCTCGGGAAGGCTCCATCCGGCCAGGGGTCTTGGCTGTCACACACACGTCAATCCAAAGGCTTGAGGTCTCCTCCAGCTGCTGAGCAGCTTTGCTGGAAACCAGAGCGGGGCTCGTCGTTCCCACCACCAGACCCCAGCAGCTTCCCACCTCGCGCCGAGGCCGAAGTCAGACAAATATCCCAGGGCCTGGTGATGAAGACTGGAAAACCGCGGCGGTTAGCCCACCTGAGTCACCCCAACCTCATCCATACCTGCCCGCGGGCCCAGAGATGACCGCTGGTCAGGTGACACCATCCAAAAGCTTCCTCCTTGGCAGGGAACTCAATTAAATTCTGCTGAAATATCGCTCGTTAGGACAAGTGCTCTGCCAATTTAAAGCAATTTGCAGCAGTCAGAGGCCCGCCGACGGAACGAGCCCCGAGCTGCGAGTCAAACGACACGCACATTTCTCAGATATTAGTCACTTTAATATTATTTTGAAATAGTAGTGAGTCAAACGAGCGTGAGTGTCATTTCCACAGCTACAGAAAAGAGAAAACAAACCTAAATCAAATATGTTTTTTTTTTTTTGCTTCTGCGTCACAGCAACATTGAGCAAGACTTGAAAAGCCACCACATGTATTTTTTTTGAAGCAAAAATGAATTCTGCCTGGGTTCTCAACTCCTGTCGTTCCTGTCTCCCTCTCCACTTGTCCTGGAACTAAACCAATACCCAAAAATCCCAATCTATTTTTGCTCGGTCTTCAGGGAGCTACAGCGAGTTCCCTGAATCAATTAACCCCAAAATCGGATGCGTGTGAGCGCCGTCAAATGGAACAAAGCAGGAAGGCCCAGCCAGGGACTTGGGAAGTGAAGTAGCAGTGATTTAGCTCAGCTCGAGCTGTTACGGAGTTGCACCCTGCAGGTTCCAGAGAGAAAATTCAGCTAACACAGGTGTAACACAAGTAGAATACATGCACTTGGGTTTTTTTGCTTTTTCAAGTGGCACAAAACAGAAATTATTGCTATCTTTTCTTTCCAAGAATTCCCTTGGAAAACTTCTGAAGCGATTAAAGCTTGCTCTCCGCTGCAACTCAATCATATAAACTTACACCTGGTATTGTGTAAATTAAAGAAAACCTGAATTCGAGAACATCCGTGCATATAGTAAGAACAATATTTAAGCTCTGAACAAAGTTGGAAAGCTGAGGGTTCCTAACAGGAGTGTCCTTGGCTGTGAGTCCATCCTCAAAAGCCTGAGGATGACTGGCATGGCAGGGTTACTCAGCTGCAGCCCTGAGTGTGGTCCCAGGTGAAGTCAAGCAGCTCCAGCTCAGCTGGGTATAAAAAGGGCTAAGGGGGAAAGTGCTTTGGTTTGGGATTCCTACAAGCAGAGTGTCTGTGGCTGCTTTTTTTGTGCTCTTAGTTTTATTTAGTGCTGTATTTGCTGGTTTTTGTGTACAGAATGTGCTGACTATGAATTGGAAGGCAAAAAAAAAAGGCATAATGTAGCAGTACTGAAGATGTGAAGAGGGGTAGGAAGAAAGTTTGGAGCAACCAGGGAGCGCTGAAGGCTTTTACTCTGAAGAGAGTTTTTTTTGGGCAACGAAAACCAGGAGCTTCTGCACACTCAGAGTTTCTGACAACCAGGTAATAGAAAAGAGCACTGCTCTTCTCTACTTAACTATTTAACGCTTTCTTTAGTTACACGGGTGTGGGAAATATGAGAGAGGGAGGATAGAGTTAGCAGTGTGAAATATAAAATGTGATTTTCTGAGGGAGAAGCTGAAGGCAGCCCTACAAATTGCATCAATGCAACAAGAGGAAAAAAAGGACCCTGTGCTAAGGATGAAGACATTTCTTAACTCGTAGTGTGTTTTTATTTTTTTTGTATGGGTGGGGGAAATCAACAGCAGCTGTGAACATAGAAA